AGCCACAGGCGCTGAGCCCGCAGCTCAATTTATAATTGCTAAATTGTGGAAACAGCCTAAATGCCCCTCAACCCAGGAATGGATTGGCAAGCTGTTGTTTTGGTGGGCCCGGGCTGGATTCGAACCCACCACCTTAGGTGTATGTGGCTGGCACCTTAGCCACTTGAGCCACAGGCGCTGAGCCAGTAGCATAAAATTGTATGGAAGACATAGTAACAGAATAAATAAAACTGGAAAAAATTCATTGCACTTAAAAGTGAAAAGTGCGACCAACTATGAGGCTGCTGGGCTATTTCCATGACTCTTTGCTAAATGAGACTTTGTAGTATATAAAAAATAATAAAATAGATGGAAGAGTTCATTAGCCAGACAGAAAAGAACAAATACCTCTAAAAAATTGCACTTTTTGGCTGGGCATGAGGGCTCATGCCTGTAATCTTAGCACTCTGGGAGGCCAAAGAAGGAGGATCACTTGAGCTCAGGAATTTAAGACCAGTCTGAGCAAGAGTGAGACCCCATCTCTGCTAAAAATAGAAAAATTAGCCAGACGTCAGAGCAGGTGTCTATAATCCCAGTTACTTGGGAGGCTGAGGCAGGAGGATTGTTTGAACCCAGAAGTTTGAGGTTGCTATAAGCCAGGCTGAAGCCATGGCTTTCTAGCCTGAGGCAACAGAGACAGAAAAGAAAAATTACACCTCTTCTTCCCCTTTTTTTTTTAAATCAATGTACTCACCAAAAACATGCACTTTAATTCACATTGGTCTACTTTAACATTTCAAAATCATTTAAATTCAACATATACATATATATATATATATGACTTTTTCTGCCATCATTTCCAGCCTTGGTCTCCATCTTTCTTTCTTTTTTTTGAGACCTAGACTCACTCTGTGCCCTGGGTAGAGTGCCCTGGCATCATAGCTCACAGCAACCTCAAACTCCTAAGCTCAGGCAATCCACCCATCTTGGCATCCCAGAGTGCTAGCCCATCTTTGATCTAAAATAGAACAGGGCAATACATTAAATTGACATGGCATATAATAGCCATTGAATCTTATGTACTTGAGATGAAAAAGAATTATAAATATACCCTAAATAAGCAAACCAGAAGAATAATGCTAAGGTTTCTGTATCTCCATCAGAAACTGTGGGAAATGGCCTAAAACCAGGAAATAAAAAGACATTTAAAATAAAAAGTTTGACATGAAAAGTAAATGATATAAAAAACATAACCCAAGGTGAGCATGGTGGGTCATACCTGTAATCTTAGCACTCTGGGAGCCCAAGATGGGTAGATAGCTTGAGCTCACGAGTTTGAGACCAGCCTGAGCAAAAGTGAAACTCTGTCTCTACTAAAAATAGAAAAACTGAGGCAAGAGGATTGCTTGAGCCCAAGAGTTTGAGGTTGCTGTGAGCTATGATGCCTTGGCACTCTACCCAGAGTGCCAGCTTCAGACTTGGTCTCAAATTAAAACTCTAACAAACCAGAAAACAACCCACCAGAAGTTCTGCTTCACCAACATAACATTTTATAAAGCAAGAAATAATGAAAAGAAATCACTGGGAAAGGTACTGAATAATGAGGGATTAGAACAGAAGTTGTAAGTTGTAACCTGACCCATCTTACCTCACAAATAGTCAAGTACAATGGAAGAGATAAAACAGAGAAGTGAGAAGTCCTTTAAAAGTTCTGTTAGACCAGCCCTCAAATCAAATGGCTTCTGTCTCCCACTGAACCAAGAATTGTAAGGCCTCTAGCTCTCCCTGAGAAGAGAGGCCCTTTTACCTCAGGCTGAGACCTTGGTGATGCACCATTAAGACAAAATAGCAGTGGATGTAACCGGAACTTCCTGAATCCATGAAAAGATAACATTTATTAAGAGTCTGTGCAGTGGATATCCTTATGTTCCATGGCAGAACAAGATCTCCTTTGCTCTACTAAATTAAAGAATTGTGCAAGGGCAATTAGAGATTTTGGTTCTTTTTCATGAAGATCTCATGTAGGTAATCCCAAAATTTACTTTGCTGTGTTTCATTGTTATACATCATAGCAGTGAGAGCTTCCCCCTGGTCCAGACCTTGCCAATAATCTTGCAGCCACATCTCCTTCCAGCTGAAATACCAAAATGGGAGTTGGATTATTGAACTGGAGCACCACTTTAAATGCTGCTTTTCTCTGAGTGGGGCCAATGAAATCTTAAGTATATATAGTAGTCTCTAGCTAGGACAAGATTCTGCTCTGAAGGGAAGGAAATGTGAAGTAAATCCAATACTAGCCCAGGGGACAGAAAGTAAGCCAATGAGTTAAAATTCCTGATCTGCTTGCTTCTGGCTCCCAAATTCGGAAGGAGTTCATAAGAAGGCACAGCAGGAGCTAGACTGTCACTTTTTTTTTTTCAGACAGAGTCTCACTTTGTTGCCCTTGGTAGAGTGCCATGGTATCACAGCTCACAGCAACCTCAAACTTTCGGGTTCAAGAGATCTTCTTGCCTCAATTTTTCTTTCTTTCTTTATTTATTTGAGACAGAGCTTCAAGCTGTCACCCTGGGTAGAGTGCCTTGGCATCACAGCTCATAGCAACCTCCAATTCCTGGGCTCAAGCAATTCTCCTGCCTCTACATCTCAAGTACCTAGGACTACAGGTGCCCGCCACAATGCCCAGCTATGTTTTGGTTGCAGTCATCATTGTTTGGTGGCCGGGATGGATTCAAACCCACCAGCTCAGGTGTATGTGGCTGGTGCCTTAGCCACTTCAGCCACAGGTGCTGAGCCAGTTTTTCATTTTTAGTAGAGACAGGGTCTTACTCTTGCTCGGGGTGGTCTTGAACTTGTGAACTCAAACAATCCACTCACCTCAGCCTCCCAGAATGCTAGGATTATGGGTGTGAGCCATGGTGCCCAGCCAACTTTTTTGAGTTTTTTTGAGACAGAGTCTCACTCTGTCACCCAGAGCATCAGCTTAGCTCATGGCAACCGCAAACTCCTGGGTTCAAGAAATCCTGCTGTCTCAGCCTCACAAGTAGCTGGAACTATAAGGAACCTGCCACAATACCTGGCTAATTTTTCTATTTTTTAGAAATGGGGTCTTGCTCTTGCTCAGGCTGGTCTTGAACTCCTGAGCTTCTCCTACCTCAGCCTCCCAGAGTGCTAGGATTACAGGCATGAGCCACCATGCCAGGCCTTTTTGTTGTTGTTGTTTTTAAAGACAGGGTCTCACTCTGTCACCATGGCTGAAGATCAATGGCACAATTATAACTCACTAAAACCTCAAATTTCTGAGCTTCAGCCTCAGCCTTCCAAGTAGATGAGACTACAGGTGCACTACCACCACCATGCCCAACTATAAATTTTTTTTTGTTTTGAGACAGAGCCTCAAGCTGTCACCCTGGGTAGAGTGCCATGGCATCACAGCTCATAACAACTTCCAACTCCTAGGCTTAAGCTATTCTCTTGCCTCAGCCTCCCACATAGCTGGGACTACAGGTGCCTGCCACAACAACTGGCTATTTTTTGGTTGTAGTTGTCATTGCTGTTTGGCAGGTCTGGGCTGGATTCGAATCCGCGAGCTCTGGTGTATGTGGCTGGTGCCTAAGCCGCTTGACCTACAAGCCAACTATTAATTTTCTAAGAGACAAGAGTCTCAGCTGGGTGCAATGGCTCATGCCTATAATTCTAGCTCTCTGTGAGGCTGAGGTGGGAGAATCGCTTGAGCTCAGGAATTTGAGAACAGCCTAAGAGTGAGACCCTGTCTCTGCTAAAAACAGAAAAATTAGCTGAGCGTTGTGGCAGGCACCTGTAGTCCCCACTACTGGGGAGGGTGAGGCGGGAGGATTGCTTAAACCTAGGAGTTTGAGG